GGTTTTCATTTTAAAAAGTTTTTTTCAAACAGATCATTTCTCACCATCCTCAGAATATCTGCTGTTTATGACCTACCCGTCTTGCTGCTTCTTTTCAGTCGTGTTCTGAAACATGTGCCACGGTTTGTTGTTTTCTTGATAGAGGAAACCGGCTGTTTTGTTCTCGCAGGACCTCCTTAAGCTCTGATCAGAGCTGGAGTCAACAATCCCTCGTGCCTTTAGGTGCTTGGATCACGTAGGCCCCAAACCCCCTGGGGGGGGGCTGCATTTGTTTTTGTAGGATTAACTCGCTCCACTTGTTTTCTTTCCAGTAACCACCTCTCCCCTGTCCACTGCAGACCAGATGTGGTGACGTATGTCAACTTTTGTTCATATAATTGATTAGAGGAATAAAATATTAGGACTTTTTTTTCTTCTATTGAAAAACGTGACATAAAAAAAAGTTAAATGATTGTGAATTATAACTCTTCTTAATAATTTCTTGGACTTTTTCTCCTTCCTCCCAGAAGTTTCCTGGATCAGACCATCCGTTCAGTAGTGCAGCAACACCTCTTTGATGTAAACCCATTAGCCGATCAGCGATCACAGACTCCTGAGTTGACCCCACGCCCTTCAAACTTGAAGGGGACGCCAAGTGCTCGACAGAGACGCCGGCAGCAGAGGGAGCAGCAGGGGGAGGAACTCAGACAAAGAAACCAGTACGCTCTATCTGCTAGATGGTACCAGCATGAAATGACACTTCTGTTTGTGCTAGGTCTGCTTCTTAGCAGCAAACCTTCTTGCCCTCCTAGAGATGTTGATCTTGACAGTTGTTTAAGAATATCAGTGGTCTGTTTAAGGGCATTCCACAATATCTCCATTAGTTTCAATTCTGACTTTAACCAAGCCACTAAAAAATTTGTATAAATTTAAAGGGTAAAGTGGTGGTTCAAGCACAGGCCTGGATTATTATTCTTAGATCAAAAGTATACCTTGTCCACAAGGTATACTACTACTACTACTACTACTACTACAATACTACTAACTGGATTTCTGGACACTCAGCATTCTGCCAGCTCCCCTTTGGCGAAACTGTGGCATTAAATAACCTATTTTTTCTCCTTAAAAACCCAGTCTAAACCTTTCAGTCACCTTGTTAGAGAACATTAAGGCTCACTTTGAGTAAAAACCAACCACCATGGTTCAGCTGAAAGATGGAGCTCTACACCTGAATGACGCCAATGACACAAACATGGTGATTCCTTCCGCTAACACTCTGGACAACTCCACCAGCTGTTAAATAAAACCCCATGACAGTAAAGCTCTAAAGGTGTTAGGTGTTTCATCATCTTTTTATGCAAGGGATTTCAATGTTTTTAAGGTTTTCTAACAAAAAAATGCCTGAATAAAAATAGTTTTCTTTCTTCTTTTTTATTTTTTATTTTTGTTGAACAGTCAGATCAGGCATCTTTTTAAGAACATTTTTTTTATCCTTTTTTATTTGCAAAAACTTTTAAAGTTCTGCCCCACAACAACTAAAAACACACCAAAATATAACATTAATCAGAAAAAAATCACACTATAAAGATAAAAGCACAATGCAATATACATAAACCCATCCCAAAATGAAATCCTTATTTTCTAGAATCAGAACTTTGGTTTTTAACAGTTAGGTGAACTTGTCCAATACCTTAGATCTTTTTGTCAGAGCAGCTCTGTTTTTGAACAAAACTGATCTCCTGTAGCCAAAGATAAACACCAGTCAAAACACCAGTAAGAAACTAATCCTTGTCCAAGAAGATCTGGTGGAGCCTGAGAGATCACTGACAGTGGATTAGAGTCTCTGAGTGTCATTAAAAGCACAGATAGGTAATATACTGTAAATAGATTTAGTACATAGCTAAACAGCACATTATCTGCCTGAGATGATATAAGTAAGCCACCAGCATGACCTTGGTGTTTGTTTTTCATCTGACATGGAGCTGATAAAAACACCAGGAAGGAGTCAGATGGACGGCAGATGTCTAAAGTCGTGAATCTTTTCTTTTCTCATCTGAGCAGAGCTGCATCCACCCAGGCCTACACTAACAAGGAAAACATCCCGTCCAGTGGTGGCAGCAGTTCAGGGAGCGCTGGGAAGGACCCAGGCACTGACGTGGAACCAGAGGGAGGCCAGAGTGGTTGTGCCGAGCGGATCAAACCCAAACGCAGGAAGTCCAAACATTGCCCAACTCTTGTGCAACGTGAGAACCAGACCAGCCACACAGTGAGTGATGTCTTCCTTCCTAAAGTCTGTGTGGCACCTATAAAGACACCTTTCTCAGTTTAATATGGCGAAAATTGTTTTGTCCTATCCTAACAGCTCCAATAGTAACTGATGCTCTCCACTAATGTACCAGGAATAATGAAGTATTACTTTCGTCTAGTCATCTTTTTTTTCTGCACTGCCAATGACAGATTCTGCTAACAGGAATCATCATTAGAGACAAGCTGGTAAATTCCAGGAAGCTTTAGCGTCTAATGGTTTTTGAACAAGCATGTAACATCCACCAGATTGTACTAATTGTTCATTTTCCCCCTCAAGTAGTTCACGTGTAGAGAACCATGAGTGCTTAATTGGCCATTATCCACTCAAAGAGGATCACAAACGGAAACGATCCGAGCTCATTTCAGTGTCGTGTCTACAATTTATTATGAAAAATGTATTCATTTTGGAGTAATTATGTTTTTCTAAGAAGAAAAACCAAAAAAAAAGGCTAACCTAAAATGGTCCCATCAGGGTGCACACCCTTTAGCTAATATGTGGAAGCTTTCAAGAAGGTCAGACACCCAAGACATTTCCTATGCAGTGCTCTTCAGATCCCCCCACAGAGCTTTAGACTCGAGGCATGGCAACCAGATAACTAGAAACTTCTTGAGTGATTTGGGTCATTGTCATGTGGAAAGATGGATCTTCTCTCAATCTTTAGCTTTGTACCAGAACCCTAGATGATTATGCTATCACTAACTGCTAGTACCAATGCTATGCCTTCATTCTACATAAAAAAAATTCCTGTTCTTGCTGAGAAAAATTGCATAAAACATGATGTTGCCACCACCATGCTTTACAGTTTGTATGGTGATGAACAAGGTTTTTTATATAATCAAACATACATTTTGGTATTTAGAGCCTAAAGTCCAAATTATATTTTGATTTAGATCACCTTTTGACATTCTCATGTTGTTAAGCTTCAATATTTGTTTTCTTTGTAAAAATTATTTTGCCGTGCCATCCGACCCATTAGCATAGACAAGTATATAATGTGGGAGAATGTAGGAATCTGACTCTCACCAGAGCAATTTCAGTACTTTGATGAGCTCTTGCTTAAGAAGGATAATTTTGTACAGCTGCAAACTGGTCATCTGGGCATGTAGATCACCATTTTCTCTTCAGTTCCCTAGCATTTAGCTTCAAAATGTGCAGCTCTGCATTAAACCAAGGACCCAGCCTTTTTCAAAGGGGCTACATTGTCTAAGGCAGTACGCTGGGAGCTAGTAACGCCATCAACAAAATCATCAATCTGTGAAGGAAGATAAATTGAATGGTTGCCCTCTGCAGTATCGTTCAGTGATAGAGTTGGAACTGATTATTTAAGGCAGAGATCTTCAACAGGGGGTCCGTGACCCCCAGGGGGTCCACGGAGGTACTGCATGGGGGTCGCGAAAGCTTTGGTTGATTAGTTTTTTTTTAATATTCCCCCCTACACTTTTTTCCACTAATTGAAATGTCTTTAAATCCACATTAACATGAATTCAACACACTTTAGTAAACAGATAAATGGAGGCAGAAGATGTCTTTCAGTCATCAATGCACACATTCAGCGACACACAGGAGCTCTTTCAAGCTGGGCACCGTTTCATTCACAACACCTGTCCCATCAACCAGGAATCAGAAATACTTTCATAATCCCAGGGAGGGATTACTTTAGTTACATTACTCCATCTGTAATAGAGTGATATAGAACCAGTTTGATAGAACACTATTTCATAGAATATATATAATAAGGGGGTCCCCGCTCCATCTCTCCATCAGTTTGGGGGTCCTTGGCCTGAAAAAGGTTGAAGACCCCTGATTTAAGGGTTGTGAGAAAATACTGTTATTTCTTCACATTCTAATCCATATGTCAACACAGGATCCAAAGTATGAAGATAAGAATGTGTGGGACTATTCACATTTTGAACAATACTTATTGAGTCAAAGATAGCATTAAATGCTACATTTAAGCTATCACCTTCCGTGTCAGCATGGATGTTGAATCCCCCACTATGATGATCCTGTCAGTATTCAACACTATATCAGATAGGAACTCTGAAAACTCATCTAAAAATTCAGAGTAATGACCTGGTGGACGATACAAAGTTACAAAAAGAAGAGGTTTTGTTGCTTTGCAATTTGGATGAGGGAAACTAAAGGTTAAACATTCAAAATAGTTGTAATTATTAACTGACCTTTAACTAATCAAAAAGTCAGACTGAAAGATTATTGCTACTCCTCCTCCTCGCCCAGAATCTCTGGGCATATTAAAATTTAAAGACCTAGAGGGAGTTGCGTCATTTATGCCCACACAATCCTCTTGTTGTTTGTTAAACTCTGTTTCCTAGTCTGCACCCTGGGCTGTCAGTGTTTTGGAGGACAAATGCATTTGTCCAGATTCCTAGAAAGAAGAGAAGCACACAGATGCAGTCATAGTGTTGCAATTACACTTTTTTATTTTATTTTTCATTTTTTTATTCATTATCATTTAGCTTGTTTCGCAATTCTGTTCTGCTGACTGCAGATCACAAGGTCGAAAAGGTTAGAATGTTTTTCAACCTGATCTAATGTTAATCTGTCATTCCAACAAGCGTGTGCTGACTTTAATGTCTACCATCTTGACTTGAACTGGTCCTACATGAATGTGTCTTGTTGAAATTAGGTCTACTATACAAGTCAAAATCATCCCCTGTTGCAAGGCCAAACTGCATGATGTTTGGACTTGATGATCTTTTGAACCTCATATACAGGGAACAGGAGTAAAGTAATAGTCAGGTCACATAGTTATTTCTCCCCCTGCATGCCAGTTACATAACAGCACTGATGATATATGATAGCATTACAGGTTCTAGGCTGTCAAGGATCTGCATTAGCTGGTGTGATGCTCTCCTTACAGCCAGAATAATAATTTGTAATATGCATGTTTAGTTCTAAATTTAATTAATCTAGGACCTAGATACCTAGATACATGATTAAAATAGCCAATAACTTCTGTTTGTTTTTTTCCCACGATACCGGAGAAAACAGTAAACACAAAAAAACATTTCAAATGTCTGTTTTATTTTCTTGGAAATGTCTTTATTGTCAAAAAAAAAAAAGATTTCACAGCATGATATGCAGCGTTTAACTTTTGTCGAAGTTCCAGCGAAAGTTACATTAAATAACCCAAAAATTATGATAAGACACAGTTTTTTTGGTCTTTAAGTGGAGAAAAGTAGGGAAAAGGCACATTTAAGTGAGCACTCACCTCGCAAAAAACATTGTCTTTTTTCTTCTAATAAAATCGGGCAGCATATACAGTACCTGCTCGCTATTGCTGAATGCTTTGGATAAATAATCAGGAATAACTTCCAGTCTGGACAGTGCAGAAAACTGCATTGTACAGGTTTGCAACAAAGGGTCCTGACAGTGCATGTCTGGGTCCTGACAGTGCAGGTCTGCATCCAGACCCCTTTCGCTTTGTTTACATCCTCCTGCGTTACCATGATCATTTTGAATCACCTGTGTGGGTCGGCACCTGCTGCTTTCATTACAGCTATATTTCCAACCTTAAATCCTAACGCAGCAACAGGATTTGCTGACCTCTTTTGGGTCAGACTCGAATGGTTAAAAAAACAAAAAGGTCTTTGGTCCACTCCAAAAAATGTCTCCATACTTTGGGGGCTAACTTAAAAAGACACAACTCCCAATCCCCCACATCATAGTTTTATTCAGCACTTATATATGCTTATATATATTTATTGTGATTATAGCGTGCAGCAGTGCGGGATGGTTTGCCAGAATCATTTTATGGTGGACCAATAGCCTTTCTTCATGGTATCTCCCAGGCTGTGGCACACTTGACCTCACGTTACCTGCCTTCTGCTTCAGGAGCCCAACAAGCTAACCAGGCTTGATCAATTTTTTTTTTGTTCTGATTGATGGCTCTCCTTACTGATAGCATACACCACCAGGTTTGGGGTTTGATGCCACAACAGGTAGAACAGACCATGGAACCAGAGCTACATGCAGCCACATCATCAGTAGAGCCAGAGATTATGGTCCCCTAACTACATGTCTCCCGTCTCTGCCCTGAATCATTGAGAAGTTCTCTTGGAGGTGGGAGTTGAATACATCCCTGAACGAGGGCTACCCCAGATGTTTCCAGCAGACCCTCACTACTCCCCTGGACTTGTCTGGCTTCCTCCTCGTCCAGCATATCCAACTCCCCATCTGGTGGTGATTGGAAGAGGCTGAGGATTGGGATGGGCCTGCTTGTCTCAGCCGAGCTCGTTGGAGTTCAACATGGTGAATTAGAGGGTTGCATCCCTGTGCCTTCGGGTAGCGGGGAGGTCTCTGGCTTTTGTTCTGAGCCAGCAGTCAAACAACAGTCCAGAATACCAGGCAGTGTACCTGGGGTACTTTATGGGAACTTTATAAATAGTTACTCATAGATAAATAAAGGAGTCAATGAGAGAAACTAAAAGAGAAATGGATCAATGATATATGAGGGCGAGACTCAACTTTATAAATCTGCATTTCTTCTGTTAGCTTGTAGCTCCTCAATAATGTATACTTTCTTTATCTCCCAGCTGGAAATGTCCCCTGATTTAATCCCCTGGTCACCTTAACCATGCCAAGTTAGCCTTAAGGTTAGATAACCTTTAGGCTAACTTGGCCTATGTATAAAAAAAATATTTTCTTTTTCTTATTTTTGTTTTTTGATCACTATGTTAAAATGTAATAATTTAGGTAAAAAGTCAGCAGCTGACAATTTTCTTTTACACCAACTCACATGAGCCTAAAACTTAATACGTGACCTTTAAATGTATACAAGCCACTTTATAACAGCATTTTGATCTGAATTTAAAACTGATAATTTGTTTATATAAGTGAGGTCCATTTTAGATAAAGATAAATTATTATGGGGTTTAATTGGGCAGCTTTTCAAAACCCTGGATGGTCCTCGTTTATAATTATGTAAGAAAACCAATGTGACAAATGGTTCCTTGTAGTTTTTTTTTTTTTTTTTCAACACTACATCTGGCAGATAGAAACATTTTAAGTCAGGGGCAGCTAAAAAGGTTGAACCAATGAGAGAAAACCGTTTCTTCCTACTGGTTAGCAAATATTAAAAAGAAAAACAAACAGAGGGCAGCTCAGAAGATGGAAATAATTGATATTAAATGCTAATCTTGGTTTCATTTTGCCATTAGCTTCCTTTTTGCGTTTGCTGTTTAAATCTTTAGAGAAATGACTATGTGTGTTTTTGCAGTTTAACGAATGCGTTGGTGAAAGACCTGGAGAGAACCACATGGACCCACTTCATAAAGGGTAAACTCACATCACAACTGATGTACACAGTTTGTTCAACCTGTTACTCAAGTTTTTCATTGATAAGCCACCTGCTAAGAATGGCAACAGTTTTGTTTTGTTTTTTTTGCTTGCTCATTTTGTCTTACAACACGCTCTGCCTGATAAGATTTATTATCTTCCCCTGATAAGAACTAAGATAGGCCTCCACGTGTGGGAGTATTTACTGCCTGAGGTTTCCTGAGGTTTTTAGGTAACAGTGCACATCCAGAGGATTAGCTTTTGCTGAAATGAATTCCTGTTTCCCCTTTGCAGGAATGAGATTTTAAGAAAAGAGGAGCCAGGATCCACCTCACAGGTAGGTTCATCTGCGCCTTACTTGATTTGCCTTTCTTGTCTGGTCAAACTGTAGATAGAAATAGAGACTTATTTGCAAAGCACAGGTAAAACCAGACCATACATTTACTGGTACCAGAAAGGAATAAATAAGTCAGAGTATGTTCACAAACAGAAAGGAGTCCAATTAGACTGGCAAACTACATAAAGCCCCAATTCCAATTCAACCTTATATATAAAGCACTTCAAAACATCAGCTAGACATGGCGTCTTTCTGTGAGGTTGTGTGTGTAGTGATCCCAGGATTCACCATATGAGAAAATGCTGAAGCGGTGAGTTTCTAATTAGGATGTTTATGGCTGGTTATCAAAGGTTCCTTTGTTTTGTACACTGTAGCTTCCACAGTCATTCTTTCTTTTTGCATTTGAAGGATAAAAACAAAATAAAAGTTGATGTTTTGTGATGCCAGATGTAGGTTGACCTGAGGAGACAATACGATACCCTCTCCATTTTAATCCTTCGGAAACTTGTTTTTCTAAACAGGTGGATTTTAGTGGCAGAGATCCGTTTCGCAAAGCAGGTTACTGAAATCTTTCTATATTTTAAACCTGAAATCAGGGAAACTGAGTTTTCCGTGTCATAAAGAGAGTTTCCTCAAGCACTGTGTCTGTTACCATAGTAACATTCTCCCCAGAGCTAACCTGGTCAGCAGGAGGTTTTCCTTAATGAACTAAGGGTGTCTTCTGGCTCATTAAAGCCAATTATGTTGTTTTATTTTCCTGATACAGTGAGCAGTGTTCTGTCGTAGTTTTGTGCATCGATGAAAATAAAATCTGTCACTAGATCTGTTAGAAACATTCTGTATTAAAAATACAAACAGCATGTCCTTTAAACGAGGATCCAATTAAAGAATGAGTGGCATTAATTCACAAAGAATTAAATATTTATAGGGTGAGGGTTCTCAGACCGCATATAGATGTCCTTTTATATTTAGAAAGTTATCTTAATGAGCGCTACCGTTTCATCTCGCAATCCATCACAGACTTCCAGACCTTATCCATCCTCACATTAGCAGCATTACACAAACTTCTTAAACAGGAATTTAACAGAACTGGATATCAGTGAGAGAACATCGATGTGTGATAACAGCATCATAGTCAGACAGCCACTTAGTATTTTCTGTGTGTAATGGAAGACAGGATCAACATGAGGAGGAACCCCATGAGATGAGGCACAGGTCCTACCAGTTAGAACAACGTTTTATCTTCACCTGCTAACAGGTGATGGACCTTACAGAGATACACTGATCCACTACTATTCAACCAGTAAACTAGTTTTACCTGTAATGTAACAGTTTTTACAACAGTCTGTTGAGATATTTATTAGTTTGTCTAAATATGTATTTCTGATATTTGAAATACATTTTTTCTTTGTCCAAATGAAAACTGCAAACAAAACATACATTCTTCAAATATAAAATGAACATTCTGGATTTCTAGAAATTAGTTTCAGATTTCTATTTTACTGTTGTTACTGGTCATAATTTGCATTGTTTTGATTAGGAAGAAATGTATTTTAGATATCAAGACATTCAGTCAATCTGAAAAATGTGAAAACAGACACCTTAAATATATAAACATTTATTAAAACTTAATTCTTATTAGTACAATTTAGCTTTTTACTTTCTGAAATTTAGTTTCAGCTGCAAATATATAATTTAGGAAATCTATTTTTACAGTTCTGGCTAGGAACTGACCAGGAAGAATCCTATTTTAGTGATGTAACAATGGAACAACAGAGAGTATAGTGTTTTTAATAAATGTCAAAACGGCCTGCCATATTCGCATTTACTCCAGCTGCAATCTCCTCCAACTCCATCTCACTTTCCTTTGAAGCTTTTGCTCTGTATTTTAAACAAATTCTCAAATATAGATATCTCAATTTCCTCTGGTGTGAAATTGACACTTCCTGCTGTTGTCATGGTGACTTGTTGAATCAGGGTTCCAGTGATGATGGCTTTTCATTAAGCTCGACTGAGTAACCTACTCAGAGTTGATTAAACAAACTCACAGAATCTGCTGTGAAACCAACAATAAAGTTTCCAACCTCAGAATAGATCAACCCAGAGTTTAGTTGTGTGTTAAACGTGCTTTGTGAAACGGTCCTCAGGTCAGGCAATAACTCGACATTACTACCCACATGGTTCCATCTGGATTCTCTGACGTAGGGATCCTGCAGGCCTCTGCCAGCTGCTCATAAATGCCCAGTTTTCAATAGAGTGACATGCAGTAGATTTTAAATGACCATATCTTGTATGGTAAACATTATACAATTTACTGAGGTCACTACTTTGTTCACTTTCCTTGAAAATAACAGCCTCTGGGTCAGAGGTTTGTAAGATTATTTGGAAATGTATGGATTAATGTGCGTGAAAACTTTAGCTTCAATGATTGTGTTAGACTGATCTTATTGATGTTTGGGTTCCTCAGTCTCCTGTTTCAAACTTTTGGCATAAACAGTTTTTGATCTTTAAACACACAAACAGCTGTTGGGACTCGGTGTGTATTTGTTTCAGCAGCAGGTCTCAGTAAACTGATACAGCTCAACACAAACACGATGTACCTGCAATGCCAGAAAGCTGATAGTGGGAAGTGATAGCTGCCTTTTTCCCAGACAGCACACATGCACAATTTAGCAGAGTCATGAGGATGCCTCCAACAATGTCCACAAATCATGAATTCATTCAGGATTTTTGAGATTGAGAACAGCAGATTATTTCTTTCCATTTTTAAAGACTTTCTTTTTTGCTAACTGAGTTATTTTAAATCCTATTAAACTAACAAGTGTGGCCGCTGGTTGGCCATGCTGGTAAATTACAAGGTCACTTTAGGTCTGTGGTAATAATGTCTGAAGTTAAACTAATTTAGAAGGCAGATCTAAGGAAGCTTCAGTGGCATCTGATGTCTTAGAGTGGTGTTGAAATAAAACGTCACAAATATAGAGTTCTTTATAGACACAGATCAATCAGATCATCCAGTTAGATTAAAGGTTCAAAGTTTCTAAGGAAAACCAGCTGATTGCATCGACTCATTTACTTTTCAGCAATCCCTCATACCGAGCTTGCTTGTAGCGACAGTGGAGAGAAAAACTCCCTTTTAACAGGAAGAAACCTCCAGCAGAACCAGGCTAAGTGTGAGCGGCTTTCTTCTAAGACAGACCGCGGTTCAAAGAGACAGAACCAGACATAGAGAAGGAAAATAAAAGCACTGCTCTAGAAATGCTTTCTACATTAGAAAAGCAAATGGTAAATTAGCTCCACATGTGGCTCTGTCTGGGAAAATGGATGGATGGATGGATGGATGGATGGATGGATGGATGGATGGATGGATGGATGGATGGATGGATGGATGGATGGATGGATACTCTGAAATAATTAGGTAAAATTTATTGTCATTTGGTGCCACTGCGTTTTATTTAGGGGTTTAACAATAAATACACGTTCATGCCGCACTATTCAGGATTTTCCGCTAGTAAACAATTGAAACTCTGTCTGTTATTTCCTTCCATCTCCCATACACTATATGCAGAATGGCTGCTCTGTGTATGTAGGATGTATGACAGTGTGTCGGGTTACATGTATCAGTAACTGCTGTCCTCAGCCTTTCTGCCATTTCAGCAAAATTACTCTTTTGACCACATTTCTGTTTGTAGAGCATGCATGTTGAACCCTGCAGCTTAATCATTGTCTAATACATCACACACACCCATTCTCATCTTGCTATATTTAGTGAGGACCATGTGTTGGCTCCCATTGATTTTAACCCTTCTATGCCCTAACCCTGGAAATAATCCCAACTGAACCATTATCAGTGCATCCCTCACGCTAACATGAACCTAACCTGCAAAATATCCTGAATTTGGGACAAACTGTCTTCATTTAAATGGTGAAATGGGATACTTTGCTCTCCCTCTGAAGCACACACACTGACACACACAGAATACCACCATGTGTCCGCCCTCCCAAGCCACGGTTACATCAGCGCGAGGATCCAGGTGGTGGGAAGGATAGGCTCAAACTGACAGTAGCTTCTGTGAGGGCGGGTGATGGGATCTGTAACATCTGCGCTCATGTTAATCCACAGCAGCTCCCTCTAGAGCATCATTGAACGAGTTTGTGTCTGCGTCACTGATCCCACGGAAAGCTCAGAGCAGCACTTTTCTGTTCATTATCAGCGGATTGATTCAATAGTCCTGAGGCAAATAGGATAAAGTGATCAAGTACAAGTCAGCCGTCAGTCAATAGCTTTTATCTGTATGCATTTCTGTAAGAAAAGAAAAAGGTTTTCTGGAAGCATTTGGCCATAAAAGTATAAAAGGTATGTAGGATCATTGTATGATAATCTGCTCTACAACACATTTAAACATCTTATTCCCCTTAATTAAAATCTAGATGTAAATGAGATGGAGGCAGCGCTCAACAAATGGAAACGGAAACATAAAACCATCCAAGTCTGGAGGAGGACAGAAAAAAAATGTAGGGAGCAAATAAGACTAACAAAACCCTAAACTAAATACAATGACCTCCTCCAGAAACATTTCAAGTATTGAAACATTCAAGTATAAAAAGAATAAATTAGATAATCTGCACACTGTCATAAAACAACAGGCTGCTTTGAAGCTTTGTTCGATTCAATTCAGTTTATTTCAATAGCACCAATTCACAATACGTCACTAAAATAGAAGCAATGCAGTCTAATTGGTTCAACATTTCTAAGGAAAACCAGCTGATTGCATAAACTTTATTCATCTGGAGCAAAAGAGAAAATGTTTGAGCGGTGCTTTAAGTGCAGGAGGGGAACCGGTCGATCTGCTCCCTGCTGTTTAAGTTAAGCTCTAAGGTTTAAAACCATCAACCCAACCAGAGAGGTGGAACCTTAGAAAAAGAATGAAAATAAGAAATAAAAGAAGTGAAAAGAAATTATTTTTATTTTAGTTTTGAAATGAAAAGATTATATTTAATAT